TATGTAAATGCTATTATATTTTGTAAACATATGTTACAATGATTTTAAAAATAAAATTTTGTATATGATATCATTATCGATACGTAGTATTCCACAATGTCTGGACAGGAAGCATCATTTGTCCTTATATATGGTGGACAATTGTCATTAGATGATAGATATTCACCAACATATATTGGGGGGAGGAATCGGCCCTTGCAAGTGTCTGTTAAGATGAACTTAGCGCAACTGAAGATTATGATTCTGAAAGTCCTTAAATATGATACATCGAAGTACACAGTAAACTTGGTTTGTCATCTGCCCTTAGGGAATGAGTTTATAACTTCAGTTGTCGAGGATGATGAGGTATGTCAAATGGTGTTATCTCATGCAATTGGGCAGATACTTCTACTTTATGTAGAGGTTTAAGATATTGTTGCACAAAACTTAGTTGTTGAGCAAATAACATCTCAAGTGAATGAGACATATAATTTTGACAGGGTGACAGAAGATGGTTTGACCAATCCAAGTCTCGTGCCGCAATGTCCTGAGTAAGTTTTTTGTTTATGAAATTTTAATGTGTATTACATAAACTATTATTATATGAGGAATTTTCTCTTGTTAACAAAATATGATTTATGTGATGGAGTGAACGATAAAGAAGTTTTTGCCGGGACATTCCAGGAATATCCGAGGGACCATCGATCAATATTGATGATGGTTACAAAACAATGAGTAGTGGTTCGAGCGATCCAGGTCTTGGTAATGGTGATGATGACACACAATATCATTTGGATGAAGTGAATGTTAATATGAATCAAGAGATCCATAACATGGTTTAACGTTATTATTTCATGAATATTGGCACCGCATAAGGTGTAACTGTAAATAATGAGTTTGTGAAGGCATATACAACAACTCGTGAGTGGGATGAGGATGTAGCAAATGACAGGGAATGCATTGGCAAGTTGAGGAAGAATTTTCAATCCCAATAGAGCCGATGGAGGGTATGTGTTTTAACAAGAAAGAGGATCTTCAGTTCGTATTTCAGGGTTGGTTGATTATAAATAATATAGGGTATGTCATTGTAACTTCGAACAGACAAAAATTAATAGTGATTAGTGCTCAGAGTGGCAGATCAGGCATGCCACGTATATGTGGTTTGCATGCAGGGGTGAGCAAATAGTTATGAGGCATATGGAAAATATCTTCCATGAAGAACCAACATATATGTGCAACGTCGATTATAACAATAGGACAAAGACAATGTAATTCTCAATTTATAAGCTACTTCATATTACCTAGCATTAGAAGGCATATGGATCTCAAGCCGCGAGAGATTATATGCCAAATTAAAGCAAAGTTTAACATTAAATTTTTTTATATGGCAATGGATCCTAGTTTTGTCAGAGTTGATGGACGTGGTAAAGCAGATATAGATTGGGCATTGTATAACCAGGCAAGCATTGCATTGTGGGAGAGCATGAGAGCATACATTGTTACAGGAGAGATTCCAAGGTTGGACTATGATTATAAAGTGAAGCAGTACTTAGCATGGTTTCATTCTTGGGCTACACTATACATATTAAAGGCCCTAGTGGATCCTTTGAGTACATACTATCAAAGATCACCAGCTGAACATCATATGGTAAGTTTAAGTTATTTAAATTTCATTATATGATAAAGGTCCGCTAAATTACTTATCCTTGTAGTGAGATTTCTTTGTGAGCATTGAGAGGAGATTGTAACCATACTTCGAAGGTACTGAGGCGACACCTTTGTGCCAAACCAAAATTTTCTTAATCAAATTATTCGTGTTGTCAATAATTTAGGTTTACTTTAGTTTTGAAAATAAAAGAAAGAAAGCATATTTTTTTAAAATAAAAAAAAAGTAGCCAATTATGCCAAACCAAAAGATGTGCAATGACGCCAAATTAAAAAAAAAAAATAATACACAAAGTCTATTAAAAATCAAAAGATGCTCAAAGAGCCATTCAAGTGATAAAGGGCATAAAATGAGACCACAAAAAACTATGCTTATTTTTTCTTATACTACTAAAAGCCTAAGAAAATCATTGATATGTTCGAAACTTGTGCTTGAAAATCTTGGTTCCTAATTCAGCAATTCGTGCATTAATCTTCTATTAGATATATTTTATGAAAGGAGTTTTGAAAAATTAATGTTTCTTTTTCCCGTTTATTCCTTGATTTGGATATTGGATTAAAATGTTTTTGAACCTTTAAAAGAACTTGAGCTTGGATTAACAAATTATGAATTTCTAACCTTTTCTAGGCTATGCGTTGTCAATCCAATTCTACTAAGTTTTTTATTAAAACCAAGAGGTAACTTTCTCATTTTAAGAATATTTGTTTTTCACTAGATCAGGGAACATTTTTGTCTTTTGGTCATTTTGTTTTTTGTTTGTGCCTCCTCTCTTTTTGATAATGTCAAGGAGGAGAACGTATTGTTGAATTTTTATACTATTATCGTATTTGTATCTTTTGTTCAAAAATAAAAAAAAAACAAAAATATTTTTATCTCCCCTATTTTTAAAGTGTTATTCTAGTGAGGGTGAGATTAGGAGAAAATGTTCCTTTTTGAAAATTCAAATTGTAGTGTTTGCTATCATCAAAAAGAATGAGATTATTGCATATCTGTTTTCATGATTTATGATTTTGATGATAGCAAACACTTCTATTTCTCTACGACAGCCTTATTTACTAACATTTCAGGTCCACACGATCATACTGCAATTTGGAACCAGCTCAAGATTGGGTAGACTAGGTTTGAGTCAGTTTGAACAATTTTTTCTTTCTTGAGTCTATTGTATTTGGTGTGGCTCCTGATGCTTTGTAACTTGGAAGATTTTCTGACTGTTCCCTAGAGTTTACTATTTTTGGTAACATCATCTGGGATGATACTTATATCGGCCTGAATGATCTGTTCAAAAGCTGAAAGCCTAATTAGGGCATCCTTATTAAAGCAGCTGTCATTATGCAAAATACATCATCCTGGATGATTTTGTATCGACCAGGACGATATGCTCAAAACATAAAGAATCTGCCGCCAGATCTATTTAGGAATTACTTATATTTGGACATCGTCCAGGTGGATCGTCCAGGACTATAAAATATCGTCTAGGACGATCCAGGACAATTTTTCTAAAATTTCTCTGGAATTTAAGAAAAGCAATTATGACTTGATTACATGATCAAATCGTCCTGGACGATCGCAGAATCGGCCAAGACGATCTGTTGGATGATTGGACATCGGATAGCTATTTTTCAGGGCGATGTTCAAGACGACATTCCACGATTTGTTCTGATCGTCCAGGACGATATATTATCGTCCTGGATGATATGAACAAACTTCTTCTGATCGTCTCAAATCGTCCCGGCTGATTGGGCTTAAATTGCACTGATCTTCTCAAATCGTCCCGGCTGATTGGGCTTAAATTTCACTGATCGTACATGACGATATTAGTATCATCCTGGACGATAATGTCGGCAACTTGCATTAATGAGCTCGTTTTGAGATCTTATATTTAAGCTATGACATGACACTTGGTAAGTGTCTTTGACAGCCATTATAGCTTTGTTCTTTTGAGGGGGAACTTGAAGAGAGAGCTTGAAAGGGAGTGAGGAAAGGGTGGAGTTTGAGAGAGGGAGAAGATCCTGTGAGGGGGGACTCAAGGGAGTGTGGAGGGGGTTCCACACGGTTGCTCCGGCAAGCTCGCACCTGAATACCGTCAGATTCAAGGCTTGTCTAGAGGGAAGTTCACCAAAGAAGAAGATCTCTTTGGTGTCAAAGGACCCGGCGACTTCGCCGCACCGGGGAAGGTGGAAGTGATTTTGTAAGGGCTTTTCTGCATAGCTGTGGGGGCTAAAGGAAAGACACTTAGTTTAGTGCAATACTTAGAGGGTGCCTCCAAGGAGTGGACGTAGGTCAAGGTTTGACCGAACCACTATAAATCTGGTGTGTTATTTCCTTTATTACTTCCGCATTTAATTTCCGCACTTTGGTTTTTATTGTGGTGATATTGGTTTTGATTTGTGCTTTGTTTAAAGATTTTTTTTTTACCAATTCACCCTCTCATCTTAATTAGCCTTGGGCCAGTTCTTAAGGGGCCTAACATACCTAACGAACTTTCACTTTGTAGGTGGACGTGAATATTATTGGAGATATGTGCCAAAGATTGCGACAACATATATACATTGATGATGCTCATTATTTTGATAAGGCATATACTTAGGTGTTTAGTCCACCCGTTTCGACTACAGATCCATATGATGCTGGGCCGTCCTCCTATTCTGATCTTGGTCCCGCTCAGAGCCACTTCACAGCAGAGTTTGACATTTCCTCCACACCTCAGTTCGTACCTTCTTCCTTAGGAGATCCCCTAGTTACTTAGCAAGAAGTTAGTGATCAGGCGCAACGCCATCTACGTATCAGGCCACTACGAGCACCTCAGCATTTTATTCCAGGCACTGATGCGATTCCACATCAACATAAAAGGAGGCATTAGTTTTTTGTATCATGTATTTTTTAGTTGCTTTAGTTAGATTTTGTTGTTTATGTATCTTATTATTGGATAATCCAAGAACATATGATTTGACCATACAACTTTACAAGATTTGACTTGACAATACAACAAAGAAAAAACTACATCAACTAATATTCATACAACAATTTTTCTTTTTAACTCACAAGGGTAAGTCGCCCGTTACTGGCATTATATTTTTCGGTTATTCATACGCATAACGGCTAGTTGAGTCATCATGGGGTAAGTCGTCCGTTTAACGGGAACTTATGTCAAATACCAAGTCGCCCGTTTAACGCGCGACTTTGGCGAGTTTAAATTTTTTTAAAAAATATTAATTAATTACTTAATTATAATTTAAACCATACTTGATTTAAAAAATTTCCCTTACACGAGTCTAGTAGAACTGAGATGACTAACCGGTCCACCTCCCACTAACGCGTCATTCACACCTTTAAATACATCGCACAATTAACTAATTGAACCGAACGCCATTGCCCTCTGAAGAATTCTCCTAATGGCAATAGAGGCGATGGAGGGCATAAGCCCTTCTCTACGATCAGCTCTCCAGAACTCGGATGATCTGACCCCCAGCTCTAAGGCTATCGTTGTTCGTTCGCCGGACGGCATCGAACCACCGCCTACTTCCTCTTTGTCGCCGCTGTCGTCGCCGGCATCGGCTAAAGCGGCTGTTCGGGCACCAACGGAGACGAAGCAGGTGCTGGAGACTGAGAACTCGACTGTTGTCAGTTCGATCCTGCGGCGGAAATGGCGGGCGGAGGCTGTTAGAAGGGCGGATGTGGTGGCGAGAATGGTGGCGGCGGCGCTTTGCCTTATCTCATTCTCAGTGATGGCCGCTGACAAGGACAGGGGCTGGACTACTGACGCCTTCAATAGCTATAAGGAGTACCGGTGGGTGGTTCTTCCAGGTTCCGGTTGTCAGGATCTGATGATTCCCATACTACGCCGGAGTTATTACCGTTGTTTTGGTCTCTGTATGGTGCAGGTACTGCCTTTCCGTGAATGTGATCGGGTTCGTGTACGCGGGGTTCCAGGCATACGCGGAAGTCCACCACATGAGCAGCAAGAAACGTATCATCCGCCGTCCTATGGGGAATTACTTTAACTTCGCTATGGATCAGGTTTGTTACGTGCTACAGCGCGTCATCGCTTTATTCCTTTAAGCTCCTAATTTCCTTTATTCTTTAATCCTGAATGATGGATATCGGTGTATTCCTTGAAGCCTCTACGGCTCTACCTAATTCTGATCATGTGATCATCCTTTAACAAGAAAGTTGTGTAGGGATCACATGTTTCGCATATTGCGGGTGCTTGCTTGTTATTTTGGTAAAAAACATGGAAGTTTTTTTCAAAGTTATGTGATTGAATTCTGGTTGGATCAAATTTGTGCGTTAACACTAAACATTTTCTTATTGCTGGCCATATGATCATTCTTTAACAAACATGTTGTGTGAGGATTATATGTTTCGCATGTTTTGGGTATTTGCTTGTTTAATTGGTAAAAAATTTGGATTTTTTGCCAAAGTTCTGGGATTGAATTCTAGGTTGATCAAAATTATGCGTTGACACTCCATGTTAATTTTTTTTTTTTTTTTCACATATTAAATAGATTTTTAATAGCTATTAGATATTCTTTCATGTTGATTCATTTTGAAATATTTAGTTGTCTAATCGATTCTGATTGGTTAATTATCAGTTGCTACTGTAGGTTGCCACAATATATTGAAACTTGATGCTGAACGTCTTTAGTCTAATATATACTTATCATTGATCCTTATTAGGATTTCTCTGTTTTAGCATTTTTAGTCAAGAAAAGACAGGACGTTCGTTTGTTTTATTGATTTATTTTTGGATGAGAGGAAAGTACGTGGTTCCTTGTAAGTCAAATTACTAAATATGATGAGTTTCAGCTTGGTCTTCTCATAAAATTACAGAATGTTTTCAATCATACTTCAAACAGAAAATCAGTAAGTACCTTGACAAACAGGAGATTTGTCTACATCATGCACTTGTCCCAATCATTTGAAAAATTTTGTAAGGTGCCATTTATCCTGATGGTTGATGATGCGAGTATTTAGGATTTTCTATGTCACGCATAGTTCATTGCCAGAAATCATTCTATTGGAGTTTTCATTGTGTTCCTCATGTTTTGTTTTTATTCTTTTGGTTCAGACCGGAAATTTGGATATTGTCAAGGAAAACAAGCATCTACTTTCGTGTGAGAAGTCTAAACTTTGTTCAAGCTTATGCTAGCGGCAGACTATGAACCTTATATTAGACTATTGATCTCATCATCATTCTATTTTGAACAAGGAAGTGGGGCTGATGTTGGATTCAATATTATATGTGAAAAAGTAGTCATGAGAATCTCTTTAAGCGGGTTAGTTTATAGAGGGCCCCATTGATAAAGAAGGTTTAGTCTAAACAAGCTAGGAGAGAAGTCTAGAAGAGAGAGGTTATGAGGGAAAATTTTAGAGTGATTGTAGTGAGATAGTTTTGGCCAAAAGTACACGATTCAATCATGTTTGTGCTTGACCAGTGGCCCCCTATTTCTAGATGTGAGGAAATAACCTTGGTGTAAACTGCTAGTTGGTTGTCAAATGCTTTCCCTAAGTTGTTGAGTTCCTTGGGAAAATAGCATTGGCGAGTTAGCAAATGAATTAGTCCTTGAACGAGTTCAATGGCTTAGCATTGAGGGCCAAATAAGTCACCTATTATTCGGTGACTTGACAAGATCCAACTCTTGGTGACTTAAAGCTTGGCAAATTAGGTTATAGAAAGTTCAAGTTGTATATTCATCAATGTATTGAACCCGCTATAGGCTCTAATGATGCATTAATTTGCTCGACTCATATGAATATGATTTACATATGGTAATTATGCTCTAAACTTAAAAACATGCTCAATAATTGCCCAAATTTCAATGGATCCAAAATCAATACCAGAATACTTCTGAGGATGCTTGGTCAATTAAGTTAGATTCAACTCTATATATAATATATGCACATATTTATGTGTAAATAGATGTATACACATACATATATGTGTATTCATAATTACATTACATGTAAAATTGTATGTTTGTACATTTATATTTAATATATTTTATAATATGTCCTTGTAATATATTTTGAATAATTTTATACAAAATAATAATCATTAATTTGATTTAAAAATATTTTATTAATGGACTTTATTCGAATTAACTTGAAAGTTGTATCAAATCAAATTTTGTTGACTTGACTCAATATCACCCGTAATGGGAAGGTATGTATATTTAATGAGATATCAATTGTATTTTATGTATTTGGACATTGTTTTTGTCACGACTTGACCTAAGAGCTTGAAATACTGAGGGAACACATGCTCGGATGGATTATTTCATCTGCTAGTTCTAAACATTCTTAAAAGTTTCATCATTTCAATAACCAAACTAAAAAATTAATTATAAACTAAAAATTTATCACTTTTAATAGAATTATTGTTCTCTCGTTATGTCACGTCTATAATATATATTCTCTTCTCCAACTTATTTAGTTATCGAGATTCTATTATAAAAATATTAATTAAAACAATAATGTGTTATTACTATAACTCAGTGTATACATCATATCTCTAAATTATAATAATTAGCATGTATGTTTGTTAAAGTATACAAATTTGTATAAAATAATTTGACAAATTGTTTTATTTAAAGTTGACTAGAAATTGTTTTTAAAATATGCCTTTGTATAGTAAGGCGAGTGTAATATCTTATATTATAAAATCATTTTAATATAATATATTTATCACATGATTACCATCTAAATTATACTATTTAAGATATTTTAATATCAATATCCTTTTTCATTTTATGTGTGGATATGATAGCATCCCCAACTATTATCATAAGTGAGTGAATTGCATTAGTCAATATGCATATGCTAGCATAGTTTATTTTTTTCATATTTTTTCATATCATTCAATACTGTTCAATTCTAAATATTATATGATACCATTTAACATTATTCGATAACTATAATCCTTTTCAACTTGAACTAATTTTTGTAGTTAAGATAAATCTTGATTGAATTTGTAATAACAATTGATTAAACAAGTATTAATATTATTTGATGCATTTGGTTTAGAAGATGCAATATTATAACTATAAATAAAAAATATTAGTACCCATCTCAATTATATACGACTTGGTTATTCATTTTAATCCTCACTCTATCTTTATTAGTTAGATTTTTATAATAGCATATAAGATATTCAAATAAAAAATATGAAATTGAAATTAGGATAGGATCTTGGAATATAGGTTCTCTTATAGAAAAATTAATGAAATTAATATATATTATGATTAATAGGAAGATATATATTCTATGCATTCAGAAAACTAAATGGTTTGGAGAAAAAGCTAAAGAAATTATTAGCTTAGAATTTAAATTATGGTATTCTAGTTAGAGTCGTACTATAAATTGTATAGGCGCGATTATAGATAAGAGTTTGAAGAATAATATTGTAAAAATTAATAGAATTAGATATATAATTATAGCTGTAAAGATTATTATTGATACTATGATTATTAATATTATAAGTGCTTTTGCTCCTCAAGTATGTTTAGATAAAATTAAAATTTTAGAATGTCTTAAAAGAATTAATATAAAAGATATCTCTTGAAGAAAAAGTTTTTATTGGAGTAGATTTAAAAGGGACATGTTGGTAAAGAGGTAGATGATTTTAAAAATATTTATGATGGCTATGAGTTTGAAGTGACTAATGAATGTGGTAAGACCATATTAGATATTTTTATTGTTTATGACTTTGCAATTATTAATACCTTATTTAAGAAAAGTGATGAACATTTAATCACTTATAAGAATGGATATAGTAAAACTCAGATTTATTATTTTCTTATAAGAAAAAAAGATCGTTTAGATGATAAAAATTGTAAAGTTATTTAGAGTGAAAGCATGTGTACTCAACATCACTTATTAGTTTTGGACTTTAAGATGAATGAACAAAATATAAAAAAAAAGTAAAAGTTATTCTAGGATTAGATGAGGGGCTTTTATAGAATATTGATAAAAATATTTTTGAGAGTAAGATTCTAAATCTTAAGATTTTGCCCGTGCATGAGGAAGCTATTGTTATGCAAAAAAAATAGCTAGTGATATTAAGAATGTTGTAAAAAATGTGTTTGGATAAAAAATAAGAATATTTATTTTAAATATTGGTTTGGATGTAAAAACTCTGATAATTGAAAAAAATATAAAGAGGTCTGTAAGGAGTCTAAGAAAGCAATATGCGGTATAGAGATTTTAGCTTTTAATGATTTATATAATAAATTAGAGCGAAAGATATATGCATAAGTTAATTAAATAAAGAGATAGGAGTAGTAAGGATTTAGTGCAAGTGAAGTGCATTAAGGATGAAAATCAAAAGTATTTTTTTTAAAGAAGATATTCAATAAAGGTGGATGAGATATTTTGCTAAACTTTTCAATAAAAATTGTGATAATAAGATTGACTTTAGTGCTAAACTTTAGTGATCTAAAAAAAAAGATTTTTGTTTTTATGGACGTATTTTGAAGTTAGAGAGACTTCAAAGAAAATGAAGTGTGGAAAACCTAATGATATTCCAATAGAGATGTGAAAATGCTTAGGAGATGAAGGAATTTTTTGGCTTGCTAATTTTTTTTTATATTATTTTGAAGACTAAAAATGTACTAGATGAATGGAGAATGTGTTGATTCTTATTTTTAAGAATAAAGATAATGCACAAGAATGTGTGAATTATAGAAGAATTACAGTAATGTTTCATACTTAAAAACTTTGGAAGAGTTATGAAGCATATGTTACGACGTGATACTAATGTTTCTCAAAATCAATTTGGATTCATGCCAAGTAGGTCTACTATGGAAGCTATTCATTTATTGAGAGGTTTGATGGAGAAGCGTAGAGAGAATAAGGAGGATCTTCATATGATATTTATTGATTTAAAGAAAGCATATGATAAATTTCAAGAGAAGTGCAATGGGAAGTTTTAGAAAAGAACGAGTTAATAATGCTTATATTCAAGTCATTAGGGATATGTATGTAGGTTCTGTTACTTGTGTTCAAACACAAGATGGTTTGACCAAGTATTTTCCTATTTTTGTTGGATTACATCAAGGGTTAGCCTTGTCCATATCTTTTTTCTTTAGTCATGAATGTTCTCACTAGACATTTGAAAGAGCTTGTACCATGGTGTATGCTTTTTGCTGATGACATTCTTCTTGTTGATTAAGCAAGAGAGGGAGAAGGTAAACTTGAATTATGGAGGTCAACCTAAGAATCTAAATGCTTTTGTTTGAGTAGATCTAAAACTGAATATATGGAGTTTAATTTTAGTAGTAATAGATCTAGTGTAGGGTTTGTGACTTTGGGCGATCAAGTTATTAATAATAGTACACATTTTAGATATCTTGGGTCTATTATTCAGAGTGATGATGAAATAGATGGGGATATTATAAACAAAATTCAAGTTGGATGGTTGAAGTGGAGGAATGTATCAGGCTTGTTGTGTGATAGAAAAGTACCCTCAAATTTAAAGGAAAATTCTATAAGATGGTGGTGACACCTGCAATGCTTTATGGTATAGAATGTTGGCCATTAAAAGAGAAGCATAATATTAAGTTAAGTGTTGTAGAGATGAGGATGCTTAGGTGGATGAGTGGATTTACTCTTAAAGATATGATACAAAATGAGCATATATACGTGGAAAGGTTGGAGTAGTTCCAGTGGAAGATAAGATTAGAGAGTCGCCATAAATGGTTTGGTCACATAAAATGGCGGCCTTCTGATAACCCATTTAGAAAAGTAGATGTATTAAAGTTTGCTTATGTTAAGAAAGGTAAATGTAGGCCTAAAATGACTTGGTTATAAAATATTAAAAATGACATTTCTTTTTTAGAGTTAAATGAGCATTTGACTCTTAACATGAAACAATGGAGAAAAAGGATTCATATAGCCGACCCAACGTAGTTGGATAATGGCTTGATGTTGTTGTTGTATTTAGCTTTGTTAACCTTTACTCCCATTTAGCTATGAGAAGCATCATTATGCCTTGAATCTTCTAATTTATTTCTTAACGTAGTATTGAATTGACTATTGTATCATTAAAATCTTGTATAATTATATAAGTTAAAGTTATTTATTTCTTTTGCTTACTATATTATTTAGAATTTCTTTATTAGATTTAAATGAGAATTTGACTCTTAATAGGACACAATGGAGAAAATGATTCATGTAACCGACTCCACATAATGGGATAAAGGCTTGATGTTGTTATTGTTGAACTATATTATTTAGAATTGATTCTCGTTATATTTTTCTCATATTTACATATGGAACTTGTTAATTAATCTCAATTTTAGTAAAGATATAGGCTATCACTTTTTTTTTTAAATTTCTATATCAATATTAATATATTGTGGCAATTTTTACTATAATAATTTCTTTTATCTACATGTATACATACATATATAACTTAAGTCATGACTCTGCCCACTTGCCCTAGTTCTTGCTCTCGCTCACTAGCTCACTCATCGCCCTCTCTCGCTCTTTCTCTCTTTGTCTACGATTTCATTATTTACAATCTCCCCCATTTATAAAAATTTTATCATTAAAATTTGCATATAATTGTAATTACAAGTATTTAACCCAAACCCTTCACCACAATAACATCATGAAAAGTTCAATCATTACCACTTAATGCTTACATTATTATAACAAGATCAACTTAACTTCATTCAGCATAAATATCAACGTTAAGTGCATATCTAACTTAGCGAACCAAAAAATTTGATGTAAAATAACTAGTTAATATGCATTTGATGTAACAATTTCTTAAACAACATTATCAACATCAACAGAGTTCTGTTTAGGTTCCTGTTGTGTCAATGCATAGACCCATGGTTGTATATTCTGCCTTGGTTGATTTTATGTTTGAGCTAAGGAGATCGATTCCATTATCTTTGTTTACCATTTTTTTGTCGGAGTGCTCCACAAGACTTTACTTCTCATAAAGCCTTCTGGACCCAATGTAGGGCAGAACTTTACTATATGCCCTAGTTGATGGCGCCAATAACAAATATTCAACTCTAACAAGCATTCACTCTGATAAAATCTTTCATACTTGGCACATGATTTCATGGTACTATGGGCCATACTAATATTAACCCCATTAGAAATGATCTGCTTTAATTGGTCATTCAGTCCTCTAAATTAAGGTGGCTGCAGATTCTGGAAAGCATTGGTATTCACCATAACGTTAGGTAGTACCTCATCCCCCACTATGTTTGTTTCTTAGCTCTACTTTATTATTCATATGCCTCGGATATACAAAACAATATTATCTAATTAGAGCTATGTGATTGTTTAACCAAATCTCTTGAATCTTACTATGAAAATTGCATGATGATTTACCTAATGGTTCTTTTGTTATGATTAATTCTACTTAATCTAATTTTCACTTTGATATCATTTTTGTTATGACCAACCCCGCTTACTTGCTCTCCCATAGCCTCGCTCTTGCTTGCATGCTCACTCCCTCTTGCTCACTCGCTCTTTCTAGCTTTGTCCCCTACTCCCACATTTAACAGTGGAATTGGCAAAACTTTGGTTCACTGGAACTGATGCTAGCGGGTTCCTATATATATATACCTTAACGGGCTATTACAGATTTGCCTAGATGCATTTGGATAGAGTATTTACCTTGCAATATTGTTTGCTTCCTTCTTTTTTTACTTTGAAAATAGCTGATGCAAAAGCAATACACGGAGGACATACCCTACCAATGTGTCAACATCAATATTATATTTTAACTGTGCTGATTTACGCATGTGTGTTATATGCAATCGTTAATTAGCTTAAAAATTAAATTATTTGCCAATGTGAAAACTCTTGCCTCATTGTTCTGCCTTTAAAATTTTCAATATCACCTTAAGTTTTTCAACAATGCATTTTAAAATTGCCATATTTTCTATCATCCTAATCTTGATCTTACGTTTTCAGTATGATCTATCATTTAATATCTCACATCATACCTTTTTATCATAGCTTCTAACTGCTGGATCAAAGTGTAATTGTTATTTTAGGATGAATTTTCTTAATAAAATTGTTCAAAGAAAATGGGAAGAAAAGGTTATGTGATGAGAATGGGTTTGGAGTATCATTAAAGAAAGCGTAGTGGGTTGCCCTATAAATTTGAAGGTTACTGCAATACCACCTCGTTGTCACCGCATCTATATAAACTTTCAGGCTACTTCATACAATGCCTTTTTAGACTGGCAAACCGTTGTGGTAGATTCTTTCTGCTTGTTTAAGCCTTTTGGTAACTTTTGTATCAACAGATACAAGCATCTGCCTGAAATGTTTACTTTTATGACAGATACTGGCTTACCTCTTAATCTCAGCATCATCATCAGCTACTGCACGTACTAACTACTGGGTGACAAATTGGGGGACGGATCCCTTTCCTAATATGATTTCTGGCTCGGTTGCAGTATCTTTTCTAGCATTTGTTGCTTTTGCACTCAGCTCCCTTATATCTGCTTACAACCTCTTCAACCGTCCAATCTAAAGGCCGCCTTTGTAAGTTTAAATGCCCAACTTTCACAGTGCTCATTTGGTTGCTTGAGCATAGAAAAAATATGTTTTAGAGGATACTAAATTTATTTTCACCTTTTTTAAATCTGAAAATAAAATCATTATATTGAGGGGATTGGTAGAGTTTTAAATCAATAGCATTTTGTAACTACATCCATCAAAATCATGAATCGAACAAAATATAACATAGTTTGAAACGTCTTTCTAACTGCTAGCAACCAAGCCTTTAGATTATATAGAACTTCTGTTCAGAAGTGCAATTTGTAAGACTAGTTTGTGTATGCAAATTTTTATTTGGGTTCTTGTTTTGTAATGTGAAAAACTGAAGCATATTGGTGTGTTTTTTAATAAAATGCAATGTTGTATGGACTGTGTTTCCGGGTTTCAACTGAACAGCTGCTTGATTTTTTTTTAATCTTGTCATTGGCATGGAATGATTAAGAAGTTGGAAACTGTCTTTCCCTTCTCTTTTCTAACTAGCATTGAACACAAGTTAACGGAAAATAAAGTTAATACGTCAGTATCTCAATACCAATAAAGTTAATTCGTCAGTATCTCAATACCGTATTATAACTCGCAGGCACAGCGGCAGTGTGGTTCAGCCCTTATAGATGTTCCTTATCTGGATTCCTTATAACTGTGAAATTAACAGAGAAATGCACTTCAAAACAGACGTCTAGGCTAAGCATATGTAGTTTTCTTAATATTATTGCTTGTGGGAAATTGAGTCGTAAAGTGAGGATCAATATATTTGTCTTATTTTTTGATCTCATACATACCAACAATTCAGTAGAGAGGGAGGTGAGAAAATCACAGAATCTATCCCATTTGAATATCCTTCACAATCATTGCTAATAAGTAGAGAGGAAATCATAGCATCTCCAAATCTCTCCTATTATCATCTTAAATGATATGTCTGATATTTATTGTTGCACTAGCATGACTCATTTGTGGGAGAAAATTTCCTTCCAATATTCAGGTCTTAGTGGGTGACGCACTTCATGTTTTCATAGATGGCGGGTCTAGCATCAACATTGTGATTGCTGAAGAACCATTGATGTGATGGGGCTTTATGTGGTCTCTGGGTGTCGATTAGAGACTTCTTATTGTCATTGTAGAAATAAATTCGATGCCATAATTGTGGATGGGCAATCATAGATGGGTGAGGACATCATTTAGTCTCTAAGTGTGAATGGGAAATCCTTTTACCATCATTGCAGATGACGGTCTAGCACCATTGTTGTGATGATATGAAAATCTTAGGTGGGGGAGGAGTGTTGCTTGGTATGTGATATATATTCTTTTAAAGCTATTTATCTTGGAGAAAACAATTTCAAATGAGTCGAAGTAAATGCTTATAGTTTTTATGTGAAGCATTCTAGTCTTTGATGCTTCCTCTAAGCTAATATAGAAGGCTTACGGAATTGAGGGCCAACTTGAGTGATTGTTGGTGGTCTAGTGATGGTCGCCATCCATGAAATCTCTGATCGACGATTGAATATATATCATGCCACTGTTCTTGACTTCATGTGTTCATCAGTAGTGATAATTAGGAATTCGGTCAATCAGATGGATAGAAATATTTTTGAGAATATTCATCTCCAAGTTATGTTTGCTAGAAATGGCAATAATGTTCCTATACTTTCTATATTGATATTTTCTTTTTGAGATGAGTATGTTGTTATTAACAATTCTCCATCCATCTTGGTGCTTCATGCATGTAGCCAGATTGCACACAAATAGATGTTTAGCCTTGCTAGACCTATCGATTCTAATTGGTTCGACTAGTTTGGGCCTTTTTGGGGTTGTAATTGGACAATTTTAGGCAAAGCGATGCATTTTCTTGATTACATATATATATATAATCTGGACTAATATAATATAGAATTGATTCTATCCTAGTATATTTTGTGTATAGTTACTGGGATCACAGGGTTAACTCATATGATTGAGATAAGACAATTAAGTCTGCTCTTTTCTGAAAGCTCAAAATGAACAACTGTAAGCTAGCTCAAGTTGCTAGGTCTTCATGAAATGCTATTTGAAATTTAGTTCATTTAAAAAAATTTATTTTTCTTTTTAAAATTAATTTGAGAAATTAAATTTACATGTATAACACTTAAAACTATCATATTTACATATTAAACACCTAAAGTTACCTATTTACTAATATACCACCTCAAAATCTTTAACTTAATAAAAAAAACCACTCCGTTCGCTCCCGTCACAGCAGAAGTCGCAACTCCGCCCTCTCCGACCTCGTTTGCCTCTGTTAATAATCTCTCAGGTGAGATCCCTGTTGAAGCGCTCTTTGAGATCTCTGATCTAAGGATCCTGCAGCTCTCATTCAACAATTTCTCCGGCGAGCTACCCAAATCCCTCTTTAATCTCACCAACCTTGAAGTTCTTGATTTCAGCTCCAATGCCTTATCTGGCTTCATCCCCCTTAGATTTGGCAGCAGCTTAAGGGAGATTCATTTTAGAGCAATCTCTTCACCGGCCCCATTCCAGCAACTCTGAGCAACTGCTCGAATCTTGTTTCCATCGACCTCAGCTTTAATTACCTCACCGGGAAGATCCCTTCCTCCATCACTACTCTTCCTTTCCTCCGGGATCTTAACATTTGGCAGAACCTCCTTGAAGGTGAGATCCCTACCGATTTTGGCCGCAGCTCTGCTCTCGAAAACCTTATCCTCGACAACAATGCTCTCACCGGCTCAATCCCTTCTGGTCTCAGCAACTGCACCGATCTCAACTGGATCTCTCTCTACAGTAACCACTTCACCGGCGAGATACCGCATGGATCGGCCGGCTTGAGAATCTCGCCATCTTTAAGCTTGGAAACAATTCCTTCTCCGATTCCATTCCACCGGAGCTCGGTGACTGCAAGAGCCTCATATGGTTGGATCTTAACAATAATCGGTTGAGTGGTACTATCCCATCCACTCTATCAAAGCAATCCGGCAATATAGCCGTTGGATTTGTAACTGGAAAGAGATATGTCTATTTGAAGAATGATGGGAGCAAGGAGTGCCGAGGTGCAGGGACGGTGAAGAGATACAGAATAACACATAGGGTAATTCCTGATTGAAGCAAAAGACTTTCCCAACCAAATACAAAACTCTTGCTGAATTGGAACCATTCGTACCAAGGTGGATCTAATATGCCTTCAGATTTTCCCTCTGCGGGGAACGGTGCATCGGCGAAGAAGAGATCGAGGCCTATGGCGTTGGTAGGTTCCGTAGGGACGGTGAAGAGGCGAACGAGGTCGGAGAGGGCGGAGTTGCGACGTTTGCTGTGACGGGAGCGAACGGAACGAACAGAGTGGTTTTTTTGTTTAAGTTAAAGGTTTTGAGGTGGTATATTAGTAAATAGGTAAGTTTAGGTGTTTAATAAGTAAATATGATAGTTTTAAGTGATATACATGTAAAAAAACCCATTTTTAAAATATATTTTCTAATTAAAAATTTTAATTTGTGAAAAAGACACCACATATGATCCAAATAACTTGAGCTTTTAAAAGGACAATTGAAATGACAGCCTTCTATAACCTGGACTATTGAAGTAAGCATATGAGATATTGTCATTATGTATTGACTATCACCACATATTGAGTAGTTGTTTATGATGATTATTAGAATTTTACATTCATAGGTCATCTTACATTCGCAGATTCAATCCCCAAATTAACTAAATAAAGTGGTAAGGTTCTACCACAACAAATCTATTTTTGCTTAAGTAAATAAGGTTTTAACCAAGTAAATTTGTGTTTTTGGATATACATTAGATTATAAGGTTGATTTGGTTCACTTGAGCAAATATGAGTGTCTTAGTAGATATGGTGTACTTGAGATACACAATGATCTATTTAAGTAGATATAACCTGCACGGGACATAAGAAGTTCATCAAAAAATTTATTCTGCTTAGATGACTATATAAAAGTCTAGACAAATAGGTCATGTTTAAAAAAAAAGATACATCAAGATGAATTTAATTCATTTGCACACTAAAGCATGATGCTTATAAAAATTTTATTTTTCTAAACATGATAATTTTTTTTTTCTAAACATGATAATGATTTTGCTTAAACAAGTATGACTTAGGTTTTGTTTATGATAGTTTTTTTACTACTTTATATAGTAGTTTTTTAGTAAAAAAAAAATTGAATGAGAAATTTTTGTACAATAAAACCACTTTGGAAGCAATAAAAAAGTTGTCTCAAACAAAACCAGACTTCATTTGAGACAACTTTTTTACTACTTTGTAAAACCACTGCAAAGAAACTAATTTTTCAAAGCTATTGTACAAAGTAACTTAGTGTATATATATTTTTTTGAAAGCAACAAAAAAGCTAGGTCTAGTTGCAATATGAAAACTAAGCATAAGAAAGTTGTTCCAAAAAAAGCCTTAAATCATTAGGAATTCAAAGTGAATTGAGTCTTCTATATGATATATATTCTCTAATTTGAAGTTTTTGAATTTGATCCAAACAATGTGCTTGCATAAGTGCTAGTATCTTTTCTATTCAAATGATTGATGGGCATGATCCATGATTCAATGTGAAAGGTGTGAAATTGTGGTAGCTTAGTAAAAGATTAGGTTCTCTAAGTTGAACCGAGGATACATGAGGTCTAGTCTATATGAACTAATATGAAGATTAACCTAAATGTTGGGAGTTCCCCTAAATCAACGTGGGCTCTGAAAATTCGCTCCCCGACCTCTCCACAGACTTCTTTCTTTGAGTCGTTGAGGAGAGTTTTGATGATTAAATTTTAAGGCAAATTTTAAGAAGGCAGATTGGGTTTGAAATAAGACATAACCTAGAATTTCACTCTCATTTTACGAGGATTTTAGATCTGGGTTCTGATTTTCTATAAGCGCAAGCCTCTATAGTTACTTGTCCCTTCCGATAACGAGAGAGAACTTTCAATGAAAGCTAGTTGTTAAATAGATATAGAGTATCTAACGTATAGTAGCATCATGGGTTTAGGTATTTGAAAATTTAGTTAATATTTAAAATAAAAAATTTACCACCTTGTACTTAAAGCATATGGTGGGGGAAATGATGATGAACCCGATCAGGATCTCATGGTTCCATGGTCTCGAGTCAATGATCCATAGTCTACTTAGTCAAAGGAGATAGTTGACCCAACCTGACAGAAGGATCCTTTTGGCAGCCATGTGTTGTGTCATCTAAGGGAATCTTGTAGACCTGCAGTGAATATTTATCTAACGGTGCAAATTTGATTCCACCTTAACTAACAGAGGGTTTTATGCCCTATCAATTATATCTTATTGATGCAAGCAAATATTAGAAAAAAATCTAATTTTTGCAAGTAAAAGAAAAAAAAACTTTCTAGAAACATAAAAAAATACATATAAACCTGGATTT